GCCGTAAATGGCCATGATGACAATTCTGCCTTAGCGCTGAGCTCAGGGAGAGAGGTTAAGGAAGAATGGGCAAATAGAAAAGGGGGGAGAATGTGAAGCGCAATAGCAGTACAGAAGAGAGTGAAGAGGACGGGTGTAAGCGCGCGTGCGACCTCGTCACCTGTCTGCGAAGTGCACGATATATTGGGCGGGGGGGGGAACAGAAGAGTGGCGTGGGACTTTGGATAGGAGAAGGGGAGGGGAGAGGAGGAGGAGGAGGACGGGACGAAGCGGGCGGGAGGCCTCGGCTCCTGTCTGCGAAATGCAAGGCATCTTTAACTGGAGGGGGAAAAGAAGATGGCAGGGGGATCTTGGAGCGTCGAACGGAAAGGGAAAGGGAAAAAAAAAAAAAAAAAAAGGCGAGTCACACACCAGCACGTCAAGCGGCCGAAAGTCGGTCTCGATCGAGTCCGTCACCCCTCGTCCAGAGTGGTGTCTGCGTGTCTGCTGCGTCCCACATCCCGTCCCCTCCTCCTCCTGCTCCGAGTCCCCTCCAGAGTCCCCTCGAGTGTGTCCAGTGTCCACCCCTCGTCTCTCAGTCCAGGTCGACGAAAAAATTTGCCCCGCACCAAAGTGGCTCTTCCCGAATGAAAAGAGCGAAACGTGCGCGGGGTTGCCCAGGTCCACAACGACTGACATAACTCAACGATGACGGGACGCCAAGGAGCTGGGATTGGTGGGTAGAATAAACAGATTGTGTCGTTTGATTGGCCAATGACCTGACCACTTTCCACCCTACTCCCGACAGGTCTCTTTCACCTTACCTACCTTAGGAACGTACCTTAGGTTGCGTCTGTTTCCAGATGGCACCTCACCTCACCTCATCGACAGGGACGGGACAGCTGACCTTGCGTGCGGTTTGCGGCGTTCGGCGCGCGCGCGCCCGAATATTCAACTTCGACCCTTCCCGTCCTCTCGCCTCGTCGTCGTCCTTCCCCCACTCTCTCATCTCAGCTCAGCTCAGCTCATCTTACCTTCTTGAAAAGAGTCCTTCGTCTTTCAAAAGTGGCATGTCGGCGCCGCAGAAGCCACTCACTGTGCCACAATCCGACCCGCATCGGACACGCTGCAATCAAGCCGCAAACATTGCAATACCTGAGCTCATGCCAAAGTTGCGGCTACTGGCACCTCTGCCACCCCCTCCACCGGATTGGCTACCCCTCCATCACCCCTCTTTCCCGATGGGGGCTCCATGGCATGTCAAATCAAAAGTCGATAGAGGTACCGCGCTGCTGCATGGCAGCTGATGTAGCCGTGGGTTTTCTTTGCTGTGAGCCAACTGGACTCCCAGCCACACCGTGTTGCCAAGTTGAATTTGAGAAAATCTTTCGTGACACCGTTTGCGTCCTCTACAAGGGCATCTTCATTGCTTCATCCTGTAAACCTTTCAAGACACAAAGGCTCATTGTCTGAAGTCTGCCTGCACTTTCCTTTCCTTTCCATTTCGCCATAAGTGGTCCGTGGAGTTGTGCTACACCAGCCGATGAATAACCAATCGGCCTAATTGACCCAGATGAATACCCCCGAACCATAACTATACCGCGTGTCGTCCAGATTCCGTCCGAATCTCCGGCATCCCTGCCCTCTAACGCCTGCCTGTTGCCCATGTCTTGGGGTATCTTGGGAGAAAATGAGTAAAATATCACAGACCATACCGCCGTCCATCGTTCTAGACCCCTTCAATGTTCGATACACCTTACTTTTTGAGTGACTTGAGTAATGGCGCAATCCTCGACCTCTTGCTGAGTCCCACGCGATAGATAGGCTTCGTCGCCGAGGAAGAAGCAGGCGTTTTCAACCTCTGCTTTTCATCAGCTTTACCTGCCGTTCCAGACTTGTCACCATCCGCTGGTCCGCGGATTTCTTTCTTGGCCGCTACTTTACGCTCTGCTGCCGCGCTCTGCGGTCCCAGTCCGTCGGGACCGGGCTTCAGCGCCGCATTAGGTGTCACTGGCTGCAGCACCCGATCGTTGCCCTTCTCTCGGGGGCCATCGCCCGCATCTGCTGTGGAACCTTGCTGCGTATCAACATGCTCGCCCTTGGTGTACTTTGCCGCCTTTCCCGATGGGGTATCAACCGCATGCTTCCCCTCTGTCTTGGTATCAACTTTGTCGGCACCATAAGAATGCTGCGCTTCGGGCACATGTGGCTTCTCATTTGCTTGCTGCACGCTTTCTATTGCGTTCTTGTCCGCCTTCTTTGGCCGTCCGCGCTTCTTCTTGGTCTGTGGTGTAGCCGCCGTTGCAGTCTCTGATTCTGCGGCATCCTTCACGGCTCCACTCGCGTTGATGATCTGCGGTGCAGTCGTTGTCTCGGCAGGAACCGGGCTAGCCAATACAGCGGTTTCTGACTTTCTCGGCCGTCCTCTCTTCTTTGGTTTTGTTGCAATAGGTGAAATGGGCTCCTCAAAGGGCAGCTGCGCGGCTGGGCCCATATCGGCAACGGGAATCTCGTTGCTTTCTAGATCCCCAGCCTCGTCCTCCCGGCTAACATCACTACCTCTCCGTCGGCTGAGATGAGGCTTGTATGATTCTCGATGGAAGCCGATGGCGTCTGGATCCCAGCCGTCGTCTTCGCGATGAGACTCTGTCGTCTTTGGGGGTTCGTCCCTCAAATTCTTTCTTTTCCGGCGGACGGATGCGGCGGATATAATATCAGGGGAAGATTGTATCTCCACTGTCGCCTCTGGATTGACTGGTAACCCAAAACCTTCCTGGGTCTGCTCGTGAACGGTGTCCAGCGTGACATGACCCCCGACGGACGCCAAAGGCAAGCCAATCACTCTGGTCTGGCTCGGCGTAGAGTATGCTATAGTCGTGGCCCCGCTTGACCTGGCCGCAGCTTGCAGAGTCGAAAATGGCTGAGTAGGGGAAGGAGCGGGATCCTCTGGGGACGGGCCAACCGAGTGATATTCATACTCCAACCGTTGACTTGCACTCAGTGTTTGGGGCTCGATGCATATTGAAACAGGTTTCTGGCCAGAGACGAGGTCGCCAAACGACGAAACCGCAGCTGCGTGTGGGACCACCACCATATCGACGTCGTCCTCAGCCGACAAAAACAAGTCGGGATTTCCGAGCCTTGCTCTCTTTCCAGTTTCTATCCTCGCGGCAGGAGCAGCGTCGAAAGGCTGCGTGGAACCCTGCGAAGGGATCTCAATGGCAACTGGGGACGTAAAGTCTACGTTGTTTGCTCGCTTTCTTTTTGTACAGCTGGCTGATAATCTGCTCTTCGCATAGGTGGCAAGAGGCGCTTGGCCGCCAACTGGGCTACTGGGAACATCCCACATGTCGTCGGGGGTAGCATGAGCGGTCATCTTGGGTGTCGTGACTTCCGTAAGGTCCACCACCTCTGGTTCCTTTACGTTGGCGCTATTGGAACCGGAGACAGGATCGCTGACTGAGATGGGCGAGGAGATGTTGGCGTTGGTCTTCTCCAACGATGACTTAATCTCTGCTGATAAGGAGCTGGGTGCTGCAACATTGGATGCGAATGTTCTTTCTGGCTTTGATAAGGGGTCGCCGGCTGCCGCACGCTGTTGCTCGGTATATATCGCTTGAAAGAACTTGGGATCGGTCGAGTTAGTCGCAACGCTCACGGGGTCGGAGGAGCGGCCTTCGCTTGGTATTGTGGCAGTTGTGGGTTTCAAGGGACTGTCTCCCGATTCGAAATCGTTTTCAGAATCATCCGAGTCCGCGATAATTCTGGCCGGAGCCATTGTCACGGAGTGGCGAGAAGATCGCGACGTGGGGAGGGTCGGAGCACGCGCCTAGCTTGGGGGCGAATTATGAAAGACACCGGTGTGTACGCTGCTATCCTTGTGGCGCGATCCCAGTTTTCGGATAACGCGATATCACGTGGTAAAATGGCATGGGTGTTAAGCTCTTAAGTGAGATCCGTAATCCGGGTTTGCGGCCCCACCATCTTCAGCCGGTCTGGCCCGGTCCGCTTGGAGATCCCATTGCAACATTGGTGTCCTAAGCCATTAGGGAAAGCCTCGCCTTTCAGCAGTTCATACAGAATCTCTTCACTCCATGCGCTCAAATGTGAGGCAATTCAGGAAATACCTGACTGGGCTACTCGATTTCTTCTATTCTAGGACGCTTCGTACTGACAGAAGGCAGTGATCGGTCTTGGTCGATGGTCAAGCCTGCCAGTCGCCCAATGCTCGGCTCTGCGGTATGGTATCCCGACGCAACCATTGAAGACAATTGCCAATTTTCCAAGCTCTCGATAACATCTCGCGCGTGCTGCTGTACTAGACCATCATTATCCGTTACTGCGACGTATTTCAGAGTCCTTGTGATATCCTCCCGGCTCTGATCAGTCAATCCGAAACCGAGCTTCCGACCGGATTGTTTCGCAGAATCGAGGGCCTTGACGAATCCCAGAATAACCAAGATGGCTGCACGCCGGATGATGCCCTTCTCGATTTCTCGTTCCAAGGCGAGAACATTGATGCAGAGGTCGACTGCGATTGAAACAAGGTCTGGCCCAATGCCAGCAATATTGGTCTCAAGGCCCACAGAAAAAATAGAAAGGGCAGAGGCTCGCATGCGGACGTCTTCGCTGCCTCTCTTGCTCTCCCAGCCCTCGACAATCTGGGTAAGTATCTCGTTCTTGGCCGCCTCTTCCTCGGTAAAATCATCACCAAGATCTGGAACATCTCCTCCCCAAGCGTCTTCCGCCTGTTTTTTCTTCACGTCCTGAAGGCGTTTTTCGCGAGATTGCCTCGCCTCCGTCTTGGGTCGATAACCTCGCCTTCCGGCAATCGACAGCAACGTTTCAGACACGCGCCTTGCGACATCATCGGCGAAAGTCTCGCCGAGGCGCTCAATCACTTGTACCAGTGCCTCTCCGAAGCGTAAGCGGACATCCGTCGACGAGGTTTCTTTCGCATCCAGGTAGTGTTCAAGAATTTCCTGCGTGGTTGCCTTGGGGTGCTTATTCGCCAATCGTGTCAAGAGCTTAACAACCCGGAGATTGATGAAGTCCTCGCTGTCTTGAAGCAAAGACGAAAGGAGAACGAGGGTGGCTTGCACATCCAAGACAGAACTATCAGAGGCCACTAGGCCGGATATCAGGTTGATTCCCTCGGAGCGAATCGGCGGCGGATTGTCTGCTTGAGTAATGTACTCCAGCGCAAGCTTGTACGTTCTCCTGTCCTCAACTTGCCTATCAGTGGGCACAAATGCACCCTTTTCTGTGGGATCAATAGCCTCGCGGTATTCAAGTAGAAGGGACAGGTTCTTCGCCGTAGAAGATACCTCGGGGCGGCCCGCCGCGGCAAGTTTGGCAAGGGATGTCTCAAGGGATTGCAGAACTTCGGCTTTGAGACCAGACTTTTTGAAACTCGGGGCTGTGATGACCAAGTTGAGCAAGCTTAGAGCTACCGCGATGATGTCGTCAGACTGGTCCTGGAGGCCGCTGGGGTCCAGAATCTGAGCCACGAGCTCCGTCACTTGTGTGACGCGGCTGATCAGCTTGTCCGGAATTTGCTCCAGCATTTGCTGCAAGATCGTAATCTCTAGAAGTTGTTTGACGTCATCCTGAGCCTGGCTATCATCTATTTTAGTGATAATCTCTGGTTTTTGGGCCGACACTGTCGATTGGAACCACCGGCTAAGGAGCTCCAAGAAAAAAGATGACGTCTCTTCTGATGTGCAACTCGCCGTCAGGAGACGTATGAAGGCTTCAGAGCGAGCTTGGATCTCAGTCCAGTCTATATCTGGCACCTGCGATGCTTGACCAAGCGGTATGGCACATATTTGAAGGCCGCCGTCAGATGACGACTGATATCGCCACTGTGGCACTTTTGCAACATTTCCTTGATACAGCAGGTTTTCGACGATCTCGTGTAGCTTCGACACGGACGCACTCAACTTCAGAAACGTATGGAGCAGCGATCTCGCGAGCTTCGAGTAACGATCCTCGGTTTTTGGGTTGTTCTTGCTCTGACATGATATGGCCCATAGCTGAGCCAGGATTGGGTCGAGAATTCTTCTGGTCTGTGCTGGATATGGTGTGGAGTTTATCATCGACGACATGCGGCGAAGGGTTGTGAAGAGGTCTTCAGCAGTAACTAATACGGCCTTTTCACTCAAATCAACAATCTCGGCTTCTTCAGTTTTAATTCGCGGCGCAGTATTTTTGGCCTCGCGAGATGGATCCAAGCTGTGCAAGAGAGGCTCAACAAAGACGTTCCAACCAGGTGTACCTGAAGCAGCGTCAGCATGCCTTCTTGTCTCCGAGTGACAGCAAGATTGTTACCGGGAGCGCCAAATTGTTTTCTACCCAGCACTCCAAACATAATAATCTGTGCCGCTGCTACACTCAGCTCCGCGCCTTCGTTTCCGTCCAGCAGCACGATCAACTGGGGTGCAATCTTGGAGAACCAATTTTCAGGTGGGACGGTTGCGGGCGGGGAGGTGAGAATGCGGGTGGCAACAGCCATGGCCTCCTGGGTGATGTTGGCGCCTTTCTTTTGAGGAGTGGCTGCCTCGGATGCCTTGAGGGTGCTGCTCGGGTGTACCGAGAAGATAAACTCCATGGTTCCTCTCACGCCATCAGGCCGAAGAGGAACCAGGGTCAAGATCTTCATCAGCTCTGGTCGGAGCCATGATGGCACGACGTTTGGCTTGATCAAGGCGTTCAAGACAGGGAGTAAGTTCCAAGAGCCATTCCTAGTCCTTCTGTCAGAAGGCTTCGCCTGACATGGAGCCGCACTGCATCCACGTACTCATCAATGAGCTGTTGAAACTCTCCTTGGGCGGCTGCTCGAGAAGCAATGTCGGACGATGGATCGAACGCTCGCTTACCGGCGTTGAGAATTTGATCAGCTAATCTGGAGCGAGGATCCTTTTCGGGTGTACTTGTTTCCATCGTTGCTAGATGTTGAATGGAAAATGCATGGCTTGACACTTGCTTTAGTAATTCAGCTTTGAGACCCGATAAGGAAACACAGTGTGAAGGAGTTGCTCACTGTACAACTGGTTTTTGATGTCACGTGTCTCCGCGCGCGCGACTGCACCCAAAGTGGACGCGTCGTGTCAGTGCTCTTTCCCCTTCGCCTACATCCAGCGCGACCTTGGATCTCGCCTTTACGGCCCGGCTTCTCATCAACATCCCCAGAAAAAGCCAGCTTGACGCGTCACCGACAGCAAGAGCCACCGCCGGATATGCAGCTTCCACCAGAAATCAACTCGAGATACGATATTGGAAATCAGCTATGTACGCCTCTTTCGCCGTCGAAAGGAAGCTCTCTCGCCTAACGTCCATCGTTTCTGGACGAGGGTTCGCATTCGCACGACACCTCCCCTTCAGTTCTCCGACTCTCATTTTCTGCAAGGAATGTCTATCGTAGACCTCTCAGTCAGGGCTGACAATCCACGGTGCGTCGCATCTCAGCCTGAATCGGGACCTCGAGCTTGCCGCGGTTGGAATCATCATGGCCTATGGTTGTCTATACCAGACAATGCAGTCCAGCTGAGAGAATGAGTTTCGGAACTTAACCCTAAGTATCCTTTTGGTACAAGTCTTGCGCCCGAAGTCGTCGAATCTGCCTTTTAAATCCACCCGGCTTCTCGGTCACGCTGTCGCCGCTGAAAAGCGGTGTCGCCGGCCGAGGGTCGCGGTGGATGGACTGGCAGGGAACACATTCCAGTCACCATTTGGTGCGCGAAAGGGGGTCGCTATGAGTCGTATGGGTAAGAGCCTCTGGTCCGAGGCCGCTCGTCAGGACCTATCCGCTGGAAGCAGAACTCTGGCCAAGAATAGATTGCCCGGAGAAGATTGCAGACATGGCTTGCAGGTTCGACTTGGCAACAAGCGGCGTTTCTTGGGGGGTGCTATGGACAAGTTGAAGGAGCATTGCGTTTGCCACGAACAGTCAGCATCGAAGTTTCAATCTACACGATGCCTTGGATTCGACTCGCCAGTCGTACAACAGTGCTGCGAGGAAGCCTGGCCAACAAACAGAAACTTTTCGATCTGACGAATCCCATCGCCACGCTCAGCTCTCGGCACCCACCTGTCCAGTGCACCACCCCCGTACTCACTCAGCAGCCAAGCAGTTGCCAGCATCGAATTCCGCAGCCAGTCGGCTTCTCTCCGAGCCACACCCACGGCAATTGCCACGGATGTGACATGCCCCCATGTGATCTGGCCAGGCGCATTAGCCTTCAGTCGTGGGTTCTGTCCCACGACATTGGAGGACGCCAAGTCTACGTTGGTCCCACTGGGAACCAACACTTACCCGGTGGCCTGGCACTAGCGAGAACCACTGGATGAGAGCGCGGTTTTTCATGGATGTATTTTGTCCGCGCGGAATGCCCTCCATTGCATCTTGAGCAAGGAGAGGAAACAAAAACTAGTCCAAGGAGGTCGTGCGGTCCAAACAGAGAGAGCCTCCCCGACGGTTTGAGAGTACGCATACTGAGATTCAATTCGCCGAACTCTGGACGGGTGGCTGTGTAGGTGAAAGTTGTGGCTCGTGAGCGGGAGACAGCTCAAGCGATACCCGCAAAGGCCCTGGGTGGGAGGGCTAGACCGGTTGAACGGGTCTGAAGCGATCCCGGGACCCATCTCGAGTTGGAGTCAAAGTTTGGTGCTTGTCCGGGATTGTGAAGGATCAGAATAGCTGTCTATCCCCTGTCACATTGGGCCTGCGCGCTCGTTGGATGATAAGGACAGGCCTATGGACGGCAGTCCTGGTTGCCACCTCTCCAGGAATGGCGAGATTGGCAACCCCCTGCGACTGGGGATAAGTCTTACCATGTTCTCAAAGAAACTCTTGATACGGGTGCTAACTTGCCTTGCCAGGTCTGCGGATGGGAAAGAAGTCGGGAAAGCCGTGAGGAAAACAGTTGGTGGATACTGTGCGCTTCAAGGTTTGATGGCTGACAACGGAAACAAAATAGGACATGGGTCGCGCCGAAGCCTTAATTCCAAAGAACTCTGATATACCTACAGTGGAAGCTTCACGGACGATCCTTGAAACCAGCGCACTGGGGCGGCGAGAAGCAAAGTGTCTGACCAAGGGGCATCCCAAATGTTCGACACCATATCGATTGTGGCGCTCAGCTGCAATTGCAGGTTACGCGAAACTATTCGCTAGAGCATATGCTGGTGGCCCCACCTAAGAAGCTTGATTTGCTGCCCAATCGTAGATCTGAAACCCACCACTGTGTCAATCCCGGACTACGCTCTTCCCAGCCTATTGACGTCATAGTCTGCAAGCTAACCAGGAACGGCGGCTCAGAACAGGGTTATCTCACACTACAGCCAACTCAATGGGACAGGAGAAACAATGGGTTGGCAATTGAGCACGGTCAGCACGCCTAACGAGACTAGGAGGGAGACAACGACGGCGATCTGACCATTCTTCCACCCGTCCCTCTTTCTTTCTGTCTTCCGCGCCACACCCGTTTCTTCCGGACAACATCAGCAGTCGATTTTGTTGGTTCTGGGCTGGCGCGTCGAGTTACTGTTCTCATTGTTGTCATTGTTACATTTTGCTGCTATCGACGCCCGGGACTGACTTAATCGTCACTACCAAACGCGCCGTACCAAGGGTCTTTATCACAACATCACAACCGACATCCTATTCGTCATGGCACTGTTTCGTACAGCTCTGCTGCCTCTGGCGCTTCTTCCAGCCGTCCTGGCTGCACCTGCACCGGTCGATCCTGCCCATCCCATGATCACACCCCCACCTACGCGTGTAAAGAGAGAACCTAGCTTGACGGACGATATCGACAGCTACGTCCACAGCATCCTCGGCGGTGCCTCATCTTTCGTCGCTTCCGGCATCCCTCAATTCTTCCAGGGCTTCCCAACTGGTACCCAGGTCCTCAGTTCTCTGGGCATCAGCGATGGCGACCTTGCTGCAAAACCTACCCAGGTCCTGAATCTGCCGTGAGTAGCGATTACACACTCGCCGGGTTCTTGTACACAAGCTAACCTTGGTCATACAGCGCCTACGGAAACTGGACAGACGAAGGTTGGAATGTCCGCATTCATGGCAACGTCTACAAACAGCCCAACATCAGTCAGTCAAAGGTCGATGACTTGGCCAACATTTTCCTCATCGGTGTCGACATCAAAGACCTGCCTGCGGATCAACAAGCGGAGGCGCGAAATGTGACCGAGTCCATTTTCGTCGTCCAACAAGACAAGGAGAACATTACTATGAACTTCGTCAACGACGTTTCCGTGAGACCCGGGGCTAGCGGCGGGGCTATCAATGCCCGCGGCGGCGCGCAATCGGTCAACTTGCCCTACTTGACAACGGCCGAAGGTGACTTTGACGCGTTTGTCAAATTACGAAACACCACAGGCTCGACTGGTGGGCACCTGTTGCCAGGCAATGCCACGGCATCGATCCAGACCCTCAACATGTACGCCAACGGCACGTTGACGGGCAACGCGACAGCTTATCTGGTCCCTCCCACGGGCTTCACCATTATATCCGACATTGACGACATCCTCCGCATTACCAAGATCTACGAGCCCAAGGAAGGGTTGCTCAATTCTTTTGCGCGTCCGTACACGCAGTGGGAGAACATGCCCCAGATTTACGCCAACTGGTCGGCGTCTATCCCTGATTTCCACTTCCATTACTTGACCACGACTCCGGAGCAAGTCACGCGCAACTACATGGATTTTATCTACAAGACGTATCCTTTGGGTAGTTTCGACACTCGTCCTCTCAACTTCTCTGACGTCTCAGCGACGCTGTCTATCCGAAGATTCCTTCTGGACAAGATTTTCCAGACTTTCCCTCAGCGAAAGTTTGTTTTGATAGCCGACACGACCAATGCCGATGTCATGAAGGCCTATCCGGCGATGTATAAAGACTACCCGGGTCAAGTGCAGTGTATTTTCTTGCGAAACACCAGTGCTACCGACTCTGGCAATAAGTTCCCCTATAACACTGCAGGCTTCAAAGATATCCCGCAGAACAGCTACATGTTCTTCAGGGTACCGGATGACTTGACAAACCTGGATGTTGTCAATGGGCAGTGTTATAACGCCACAATTCCACAGAACGTCACTTTCAAGACTCAGGGCTTGCCATTTGGACTGGGCAACGCAGCTGGATCTTTGGCGCCACCCAGCACTTGGGCGGTAGCCGTCGTCATGTTTGGCATGGGTCTGACTGCCTTATTGTAGCAGTATGAAAAACGAATACGATAATGATTTAAATTTCCAAGAATTGTGGTTTCAAAATGTGTGGTCTAGCCCTTTCACCGCCTCTGTTCTTTATTTTCTTTTCTGTTTATTCATGACACGAGCGCGACATTTTCTCCAAGGACAAACCGCGCTTTTAGCTGACCGCCAATGACACTCGTCCGACTTCAAGTCGGGCGATATGAGTGAACGGTCATCAAAGCCGCATGGTACACAGTCCGCGGGCCGGGCGGGACGCTGCAGTATATCGGGGGTTCCCAAAAGGGATTTCAGTGGATGAAACAAAGAACGGCGTCAGGCAGTGAACGGAAAACAGGCCGCTTACTTTGCAATAAGCCAATAAGCTACCGTCAGGCAGTGGACGGAAAACAGCCCGCTTACTTTGCAATAAGCCATTGGCTACCGCCAGACTGTCACTCGAGGCCCTCCCCCATTGGTGTGACTCCACTCGTTGGTAGATGACAGAGCCTGCGGTCTGCATGTCCACGTACAAAAGTACATGCAAAACTTACATAGACTCGTATGCAACCGTCTGGATCATCATTTCTTGCCTCCTTATTATGGATGGACCCCTACACAGCTGATGCTTACTCCTCTAAGCCCCCTTCGAGCCCCACCCATAGTAAAAGAACCAATGATGCTACATGCGCAACCTTTTCCAAAACAACACCATGCTTTCCTACGACTGGTTTGTTTACTGAACATTCCATGGCAAGGCTACATAGGACCGCTGTCAGGTTTTTTTGCGCCCAGAGTTGTTTAGCCGATATCTCCAGGCTCCCATGTGAAAGAGGGGAAGCCGGCCGAGAAGGGTGATGACCAGGACATGAGGCGCATACGGAGGAGCAATCCATTGGAAAAGGCAGCGCAATGTTTCCTTTCCGAGCGAGATGCCTCGGGCAATATGCTCCGGGCCGATGAAACCCACACGTATTCCCGGGGGTCGGGACGCGAAAATTGGGTCATAGACCGAATGTAGAAATTACCTACCTCGCATAATGCGCTCGCCGCACCACCACCGACGCGACGTTGTTATAAAGCCAGATGTCAAAAATGTTGGTGGGATAGGATTACCGTAGAACCCCATCAAACTAGGATTCACGCTTGCTGGTACTCCCATTGACTTATTATATAATTTAATAACGAAAGCCTCTTTATATAGGCTTTTAACCTTGGAACATCTCAAAGGTTTGTGTGTTGTTTAGTATCAACTACGGCTCAACGTGGATCCGAGTTGGATGAGTTCCTATGGGAGTCAACCGTAGATTGTCTATTGTCAGTGGGATAGATTAGTCAGGCCGGGAGAAAAGCGGTCAAAAAGAGGCTGACAGGCATCAGCTGGGTTACGGGTAACTGTAGAAAAAAAAAAAAAGGTGGAGGCCTTTCCATCAAGGTTGGGCGGGACAGGTTGTCATAGGCTGGATGGAGGGTAGATGTGCGAAGGGTTTTACATCAGATGAGATGCTCGTCCTTAGCTTGTTATGAGAGTCATGGCTCTATCTTGGGTATCTGTTAATTGATAACGTATCCTATCGCGCATCGGCATTGCGAAGCCCGCCTCATACCTCGTTGAAGCGAACGTGTAAAAACGAAAGCGGTCAGTCGTCATCGATAGCATGGCTGTCGCATCTCACCTCACCTTTCTCTTCTGCCTCGTGCCGCATATCGTGACCGCCGGCCCCTCACTCTCCGCCCCCACCCGGGTGATAGAATGACTGGCCGCTCCTGTATGGCTGGTGTAAGGAAGAGCGGCCGTCTTGTTTGTCCCCTGGGTGCCCCCCTATGATCTATCGCAGCCACAACGGGCGCTGACATGGTGTCTGTAGTTCACCGCATCTTGGCGTTCCACCTGACCTTATCGCGATTCAAGTACGTGGTGCGGATAACAAATGCTCGGCCGCCACCCCGGGTCCTGGTGCAGACAATGTTAAGGATGGGGGGTCCTGTCTTGTCTCTCTGGTCTGGGTGCGGACACAGTACCTTCGAGATGCAGTAGCTTCTTGGTGAAGGTACACACAGGCCCGCCTTACACCAAGGCGGGTACCGGGTGGGGCAATTTACTAACGGTCGGCCCAGATCAGACGGGATGCGCGCAGGGGAGCAGGAGTTGGAGGGGCGTTGGCGGAAAAGGAATATCGGGTCGCGGAATGGTGGTTGGATAGATACCTTCCTGGAAACAACCGAAAGGGCGGGATCTGGGTGCGTTACCGTGGTAGAAGGTGGAAAACGAGGAAGGAGGCACGGGAGGTACCTTGGACCACAGACGCAGGAATCTCGGTCCAATTGCGAGCTCCGGTGAATCGCGGATCCGGGTACCAACCCCACCCGGCCGCATGTGGTCTGTGTCACCTCAACTTCGTTCCACCGTTCCGTCTCGTCGATGCGCCGACGTTGAAACAGCCACCATCATCTCCGCCACCAGTCAAGTCCAGCACCACCCACCACCGGACCAGGCTCCTGCCCCTCGAACCCGTTGCTCTCATTTGCCTACGCACCTGCCCCATCACGACCTTGCCTGCCTGCCTGCCTTGCCATCTTCTTCCTTTTCTTTCCGTCGATTGCGCCAGTCGATTGCGCCAGTTGAATGCGCCAGTCGATTATCTTGCGGACCTATCCAAGCCGCACCGGGTTCCCCCCCAGCATTCTTGCCCGTTGACGATGTCAGTTGAGACAGAACCAACTTGAAAGCGGACTGGCGTTCCTGTGGCGCTAAAGGTAATGCCGTTACTGCGTCACCAGAGACCAGACTCGGTCGTCGGACTGAGCGCGTCGTTGCTGGCCAGGCCTCGCCGAGTCGTCGCTGGCGATCCCTCGCTGCATTAATAGTATCCGTCCATGTCCCCAAATCCCTGTTTGTGTCACCATCATTGTGTTACCGCCTAAATGTGGGAAGAGAAAAAAAAGGCCCCCAAGGCCCCTTCTCCAGATATCTAGCCCCCCGGCGCCTCAAGTGACATATGGCTAGTCGACTTACCTAAGTCGGTCGTGGTCGACTTACTTTAGTCTGTGCCCTTCACAAACATCGTGTCATGGCATGACAAAAATGCCCCCCTACTGTTCTGACTCGCCCAGCCGTCGCTCCACCGCCTTGCCCGAGACGATTCATAGCAGAACATCCTTTTAATCTTGTTGTATTTCTTGACAAACATGCTCAGCAGACTGCGAGCGCCTCAGGTGCTGAGGTGGTCTTTCTGAGTCAGTACCCTGTCCAAGGCATGTGGTAGGCAGGTCTCATAATGTATACCATTGTAGTACCTGCCTGTCTATGATTTCACTGCCCTTTGATATCTCCAATTCTCGAAGGGCAAGCGAGACCGAGTCGCAAGGCAGCAAGGCTCACTGCCAGTTTCCCAAAAGGGCAAGACTTTTGAGACAAGAGTACCTGAGGCCGCACATAGCAAGCATCCTGGGGAATGAGCTTGGAGCCTTCCGGCCCACCACATCCTTGACGTCTTATTGCATTCCTGCCATCCATGGATGCAGTGCAGTTCTTGCTCACTGCCCAACTCCAACACCAACACCAAACACCGACACTAACGCCAAAGCCCACACCTGACGTTCAGACGATCAACAAAGCCGCGTTGACCCCGGGACCTCGTCTCTGCCTTGCCTTGCATTCTGTCTCTAGCATCAAGCAGGCGACCTGTCACAGCCAATGCCTTTTTAGTCACATCAACGACCTCGAACATCTCTCGCATATCCTGCAGCTGTGGTCGAAACCAGCAGCCTAATCAACATCAGCATGACCTTGGCGACGACGGCAAGGCAAGAAAGGAAAAGCGGCAGCCTCGGAGAAAGACTTTCTTCACGCCAACGCCATACCGCCATTGCAGATCCCAAAAAGCCGCGATTCAGATTCTTCCGCGGGCCGCCCATCTCCAATCATGTCTTGGCGATTGAGGACATCCCGTCGGCAGGCCGACCTTCAATACATTGCCGTGACATCGAATGACTTGCTCCGCCGCTCAATCCTAAGCCACGAGGCCCACGCCCCCCGAGGTTCTGCTGCAGGTGCGCTGATGAGATCATCCAGCCCAACTGAGCTCGAGTCGTACAAACTTGTCGAATTCGTCACCAGCCTCGACCTGTATTGCTAGACGACGCCAACACCTTGTTGTGCGATTCAGGTTTCCCATGCCAAGAACCTGGCCGTGGTGGACTGCCCGCATGATGTGGAATCCTCCGCCGCTTTCATCAAGTCGTCTTGGATAGGGCCCACGAACGCTGATTGAAGTTTCACTGGCGATTTGGTTACCCATTCGCAAGGTCCGAATCTGGCCAATCCAGGCGCCCGTTGACCGCTGATGTCCGTATTTCTCGAGTCGGAACGAGATGCTGACTGACCCCGGCCCTGCTGACATCGACGCCGCCTATTTCCGACTTGGTAGACGACATCCGATTCCAGAACCCCGCTTACCCACGAACCTGGGCCTATGGCATTGGCTGTCATTGCGGTTTTGGAGTAATTCTTGTCTGTCCAATCAAGACCCTCTCACTTTACAGTCGCAGGGCCAGGATCACAATCACGACCGTTGCCCCTGCAAGGACACACCCCAGTACCTGCACGCAAGCTCTTTCCTGATCGTTGCCACAGAGTATCAAGCTGCTGCTCCTGGCCCTGGTGGGTTTCAATCTGTCTCGCTTGGCATCCCAAGGGACATCAGTCCTCTGGCACTGCATTACCGGCAGAAGGCCGACTTGACACGTCACGGACTGTCAAAAAGGCCTGCACTATTGAGGATACCCTCGGACGACACCACATGGCTTTTTTCTCGACTCATGTTCGAAATGGAAACAATCAGCCACTTGCTAGATCAGGCATACACGTTTGCATTAGCCTCGTCCATCTAAGAAACATCGAGGAGAAGTGTTTATTCTTGGCTGCTAATGACCACTCATCATGCTCTCAAGCAAATTGAACTCCTGTCGATGCCAAAAATTACTAGGAAAATCCATATGGCCCAAAGTCATCGCTTGAGACTTGCGTCTCCCGTCCTGTCGATGGCCAATCGCTTAGTCCATTCCATCAGCTCTGTGGCAGCCTAGACAATGGTCGAGACCGGTTTTTTGGGCCCACATTCGGAGGTGGCAGACTTTGTGGCCGATTTCTGCTCTATTTCTGGAATATCCTTGCGTTGTCGTAGGCGACGCGCTGAAGGTTTCAGCCATCTTGAAGCTGTTCATCTACCGATTGTACTGGGAGCTTGTCAGACGCTGTTCCAATGTTCCGAGTCTCTACTTGACTTACAACGACGCAATCTTCGCAACGTGCACCATGGACATTGACCCAACCAGGGCAGTCAACGCCGTGCTTGTATCTGTTGACGCAGGGGTATCGGTCCATACTGAATGATTATTCGGTGATGTTCGGGTCTGAGAGGATTCGCGGAACAGTCGAGCGTTATTGGTTCTGGAAGCCTGGCGGAAGCTTGAGCCTTTCTGCTGGATGTCTGTGTTTCGAAATGGACAAGCCAACTTCAGCAACGAGTTGCGAATGGGCCTTCTTTATACTTGCGAGTTCGGCCTTCGGCTTCTGGAAACTACTCAAGGTCTTCTAGGTGCCTACGTCTGTCTTGCATACTTGCAGGATCATCTTCACAAGAAGGTCGAAATGGTTGCAAGATGCATGCTGACTGCACGCAGACTACTAATTACGGCAGATTCTCCCATGGAGGTAGACAAGTCAATGACCTTCGCCTTGGACTGCCCTGCTCCCTACCCACTTGATGCTATACATCCGCACGAGGCGAAGCATGGCTTTGACCGTGGCCCATGCTTCCACTGAGAGCAAATGTAGCGGATTGGCTGCTTCATAGAGGTGGCTTGCAGAGAAAAGAGCGGAAAATGAAAACTGACAGGAGAGATACAATGTCAGTCAACAACTTTCGCTACCCGGGTTTCCCGGTGGAGGGTAGTCCTATCCCCTCGGCGACATGCTGGCCCCTCAACCTTCTGGGTGGATACGCCAAGTATGGCTTCCAAGTCAAAGTCAGCCAGGAAACTGCAATGTACGCGAGCTCGAAAGTATCCTGGACGCTGGATCTCACAATTTTCGGCTTCCTGCAGGGTATCGTCCTAAGCGGACCCCAGAAGCTCGTGCGACGTGAGACGCATCCGGACGCCCATGAGGCTCAAAGGGGTGGAGTGATGGACATCGTGATCTGCAGGAGCCCGCGACCTGACAGGCGGGGAGGGGCGGATATGAAGCCGTTGGCACCACCAAAGACGCGGGCCAAGGTGTACAACAAAGTCGTCTTACCAAGCACTAGACCGACCTTTGACAACGTTCACGCGGCCATTTCTAGGGGTCCTTTCTCAACTACATCGCACCAGAAGTCAGCCACTGGACGCCGTCCCGAATAACCGCAGGTATGGATGGAATGCTGCAATACGGTACAAGGACGATGCGGAGTGACGGGCGGAGGGGTACCGGCGGCATATGCAGACACTAATGTACTACCTTCTCCATGGCACCACAGCAGCTGCATGCCTGCCTTTTCAGTCTCGCTGACCATCCCGGTTATTCAGCTAATGCAGAGTCGTCCCGAAAGAGTCGAGCCGTCGAGGATCCTTTGCAAGAAAACCACGCGCCACGTTGTATCAAACAAGGCAACGCCGCCGTACTTCCCCTCATTCAAGGTTTGGAGCACGCAAATGCATGCACCATCAACTCGGGATTGGGAGCGAACGTAAGCAATCAGGAGACTTGAGGACAAATCATAGCCGATACGAATTTCCTGGCCTCTGTTGCCTTCTTCAATCAATTCGCCTATAGAGTTGGGTTGTACAGCTCCATGTTTCACCCACGGGAACCTCGATCGTATCCCGCGATCGAAAAGGCACGGGACCCAGGTGATGCCGACGAAGCGACGTTTTCCCATGGCTAGGGGAATTCATTGGATTGTACCCTATAGACGAGTTCCTACCAGGTTGCTTGCCTGTGTAAATCGTTTCGAGATTCTCCATTGCGTATCTATACCTGGGTCAACACGATGATCCTCGTATGAGACGATCACGTCGCAACAAATGGAACAGCGGATACCCATGATAGTCTGGTGGGAAACAGTGGAACAAAGACGTTGAAGGTATGCGTGTGGGTGTGAATTGCCTCGGAGGATACTCTGGGTATTTCCAGCAAGTCGGGTGGGACGCCTCGCCTCCGGGTACTGCGCAAAGCGTTGCGAAGCTTGGACAGCACATTCAATTTCCCTCATAGCGGGATTATTTCATGGCAAACGCCCGGATTCTACTCGATAACATAGCCTCGAGGCGGGAACTAGTTCCGGGAGGTCTAAGCTGGACCCGTCTTGGGTTGCTTTGAGCTGCCGTGGTAACTCATAGACGGCCCCTGGATCTACGATTAACCTGTTCCAGCTCTACCAGATCAGTATTGACAGAAAGAATATTGTCTGCCCAGTCATGGTGGATCGACCGAGGTGTGTTCATCTCAGCGTTCCGGAGCGGATGCTCGGGGCAGCTCGCGCTGCGCTTCGACAACCCATTGTTGTCTCGGAGGCAATCTCGGGGAGGTCTTCAAGGAAGTGCTGTTCACAACGACTACATGAGGAATGACCGAAGTCATCGTGCAGTACCCATGATCTTATCTCAGGATATAGTCCTGGCAGTTGCCAACTTCTCCACCCGCGCTCTTGCCCGTGTTGCTGGCCATCCGAGCTACCCACCGGTGACAGAGTGAAGCTAGAGGTACCAGCAATGCTTCCGTTCGTCTGGGACGAAATGGGATGCTCTATCTTTGAATGTTACCTTGGCCCGTTGACACAAGTCGTGGCGGTCCCAATGTGCGCGTAGCTGCATCAAGCAAGCCATCCTAGCGGTGGCGCCAGAGCAGCATGGCGTAAGTCATTAACTTGACGGCAGGGTGACGCCCCCGCAAGATAAGAATGCAGTCCTTTCTGTGTTGGGAAACAAAACTGTGATCTACGACACATAGCATCATGCAGATATGGTCTCGACACCTTGGCTAAAATGCCCACAGGCATACTTCTGCTTATTCCTCCAGATCAGGACGTAGGAGCAAGTATGAATGGTATGCCTGGACATCTGGTGAAGAGGAGCATGGGGAGAACGGGCGCGATGACACTATTCCCAGTCGGATTTTATTTATATCTCGGCGGTGATTCGTTGACAGCACCTCAACCCCTCCTGTCGAACGTTGCCAGGATGTCGAGCTCTTTTGTTCTCGAGCAAGTGGGTAACATGCGTGCCGTTTAGTTTAGCTGCACACTCCGGGTCATGCTGCAGATTCTCAGGCTGACGCGGTAGACCCGAATACCTTACTCAAATGGTACCGACGAAAAGAATACGCGGATCGGCCTCGTACGAATGGGTCTCGAATATCGGCAGACGCTCTGCTGGCTCGGTTGTTCCCTAACCAAGTGGTGATGAAGACCGGATGCAGACGGCTTTACCCAGAATCGTGCCCGAAGGCTTCGGCAACGCTAGTCGGGATGTCACAATGGACATCGACTTGTGTTGTGGCTCCGTGAGAGTGATGAAGAGCGTTCCTGGCGTTTCAGTGGACAACTACCAGGGATAACCTCTGCTTTGACTGGATTCATCACACTGGGCCCGTCCAAATTTCAACTCACAGGTCCCCGAGTTCGGTGCTAGGTGCGTGTAAAAACGTGAGTCCTTGTGATACAGAAACTTTAGGCACAGTTGGACAGAGACGCGGGGCCGTCGTCGAGACAATAGAGCCGACTTGGCGTCTTCTGCCTTCTTGCCAGAATGTCCAGCTGACGTTACATGTGCAGCAAGAGGTGGCATAGTGCCCAAGGCTCGGCGAATGGACAAAATGACACTTGGATTGGTGTTATCCTTAGACGAAAGTTGGGCTACCGGGGCACCGAGTTCATAATGTCCACAACCGGTAACATGCCCGTCGTCTCTTCTGGCCTCGCCAGCGATGACCTCTGATTACCTTCTGGATAAACTCGCCCACCCTTGAAAGCACCATGGTCTTTGGCAAGTAGGCGAAGGCAAACAATAGACAGGTTCCCTTGTCTGGCAACGCCAAGTTCACCTGAAGCGTTGCTTTCAATAATACTTTTGTAGAAGCTGAGCAATCAGGTTCACAGGCTTGCCACTCGTGGACTCGACCTGTCGAGGTTCCGTCTGCAGTTGAGGGCATAGCTCAGGCAGGCTCATGGACATTTGCACGCCCTACTCCGTGGGAACCTGGGCGCGGAGACCCATGCGTAGGCGGTAGTAGCAGCAGGATCTACTACCTCGGTGCGGCCCACGGCTCCCGGGAATTATCCAGCACGCACGATGCATGACTGGAAATGGTGTCAAGAAAGACTTTTCACGCCCCTTCCCTTGCTTGCCCCCCCGCCTAGAGAGGATCCGCCCAGTCTCATCAACCTCTCAGAAAGTCGACGGAGGATAACCCGACCCTGGCACTTACCGAGTAGAATTTGACTTGCAAAGAGGCAAGAGACAAGCAGGAGGGAACAGAGCCTAGCTTCAGCTAGAGCGGCTTCGTTTCTGCGACCCGCAAAGTATGTCGAGGTGCCGAAGCGACTTGGCCTGACACAACTACCCATTGCAGAGGAACACCGGGGCTGTTGGGTCGTCCACTCGCCTGTCTGACTTGCAGCGGAGGAGGAGCAGTGTCCCTAACTAGGAGAAGGGGCAGAAAGGCTGAAGGTACAAGGAAGAACCCATTCGCCGACGACCCCAGGACCCGGGGCTATGTACTGCGTGCAGCCACGTCAAACGGGACCAGAGGCTTCCTACTTTAGCGGCCGCTGCATCCTGGCCAAGATTTGGGACGACTAGGTTGGTGTTGGTATTTCGGATTCGGACGGACGACAGTGGGTTCCAAGAGATATGGAGGCTCCGCCGAGTCTATGCCGCAGGTGCCAGGAAAGGGACAGATTGAGTTGATCATTGACGTAGGCAACGAAGAGATGGAAGATTTTGAACACTATGGAAATTTGGTGGGCGTTTTGGAGAAATCCGAATATTGCCCATGTCTCTCCAGTGCTGTCCAAGCGATAGTTTGGCGGCCTCTCTCCTCCAGCAGCAGCAGAGAACGGATCCAGCACAGTCTATCTCCTTGTCCTGCTGGCCGACACTGGATACCATCTCGCTTCCACTCGGCACCTCTACGGCGTGGGCAGCTGGCGTTTACGAGGCGCCGTGGCTGGCACTTATATCGATACTTGAGGAGACCATGGAGATCCCCGCGCGCAAGCTTTTGTCCTCTGCAGATTTTACCCGGTAAAAGAGGGGAGGAGTCGAAGAGGATCTGCAACGCAGCGAGGGAGCGAAGGCGAAAAAGGGGGACCTTGCATCTGCCCAGGATTTGATGCGTGCTTTTTTGTGCGCTTCCCGCTTCTCTGGTGTTTCTCGCCCGTGTGGATTCCGTTCCAACTCATGGGCCGCCTCAAATGTGGCTTGACGGCGTTGGCTTCTTTCTCTGCTAACTGCCCTTGATCCGTCATGGGACGCCGGACGGCGGATGTAGGAGGCGGTTCTCTAGCTCACCTCGCCGCGCCCACGTCAGATACGGTACGTCCCCGGAACGCCGTCAGGTCAGTCTGCGATGATGTATCGGCTATGCGTTATCGACATGCAGCGGGTTGTTAAGATGACCACCTGCGATCTGGCTCGAGCAAAACGATACAACAAGTGGGATTTGGAGTGATATCCACAGTTGCGAAAAACCTCGTTTCGTTTTTATTTCATCTTTTCCGCGATGAACAGGACAAGGCGATACCGCTTTGCGAGTCAGACGGCGAACCGG